TGAACCGCTGTCTTAGAGGTTACACTCACTGGGAAGTGGTTGCGTAGGAGAGAATCACACTGCGCGGGTTAGAGATTCGTGCGGCGGAATTGATGTCGGGTGGCAGTCGGAGCCGGCGGCGGGTCGCGAAGAGGTTAGATGCTTTTTTGTCGAGGTCGCAAGACGCCATTGCGAACCTCGAGGCAGAGGTGACCGCGGTACTTTGGCGGCTGGAGTTGCGTAGCAGAGCTGACGACTGGTTGGGTAGGGAGTTAGTGCGCGGTAGTCCGTCGCACAGGAGACATAGCAGATGACATGGAGTGTAGTGTAGTGTAGAGTGGTAGTTAGGACTTAGAAGGTATAAAGTAGTTCAAGGCGTCTTGCCTTGGGGATTTTCCAGTCTCGGAAGTGCAGTTCAAGAACTCATTTTCTCTCGCTACCACTTCCGCACCTTTGCCTATCCTATAAGAGTCACTTCCGACACTCATAACTCAGTGATACCTTATTGGTTTCAAGAGTTCTTGGGCTCGTAGAAACGAGCGTGTTGAGTTCTTTTCAACAAGATCCTAACTGAGTCAAGACGTTATAAATTGAAAAAGTTATAAGGGTTTTACTCTTCTGCCGAAGGCCTTGTCCCGAAGGCCTTTTGCCTAACCATATCAGCCACTTTCGACACTCCTAACTCGGGGATCACTTATCCGTTCTTGGGGATCACTTAGAAGTCTTGGGCTCGTTAGAACAAACGTGTCGAGTTCTTTCATACTTTTTCTCAATCTGAGTCAAGGTGTTACAAATTGAAAAAGTTATGAGGGTTTTACTCTATCAGATTTCTTAAATTTCCCATTTCGACAAAGAAAAGAAAAACTAGGCTACCACACCTCCTAGCCTTTACACCAACCCCCTAATCCTACCAAACTTTCAAAAAACTTCAAGCATAATTTTGCATCCATAATTTTTAGCTTAAATCCAAAATTTTAACTCTCATATGGTTAAAAAGACATGTGAGTGCATTTTTGTGATCACATGGTAATATCAGGTGGTAATATCGCGTGGAACTCAACCGCGTCATAGAGTCAGGGGTAACATTCGATGTTTCGAAGGTAGATTCGTAGGTTCAAGTACTATTGGGTGTAAAAATACAAAAAGTGCAATTCGCCGGCTTGTACATGCAAGCCAGGTTTTGCAACGGTGTAACTCTCATTTTGCAATGGAAACTCACGATTTGTCTAAAAAAAAGGAAAAAAGAATTGCAGCATATTTATTTTAGCCTTTTTCCATATCAAAATAAAATGTATTCCCACATTCTAATGAAGACTTTTTTGCACAACAATTACGAGTGGATCACACAAAATTTCCGTGCAATCCAATTGGTGAGAATTGTTTCAATATTTTTAATATCTTGAAAATTCTAATCTTTGGGGTACGATTCTTGATGGGTGGCTTTGTTCTTGAAACAGTACATTTCAGCATAGTCCACACATGACAAGATATGCGTTTACTTATCTATTCGTTGACTTTGGGTCTACTCGGACTGTGGATTTCTCTTGGGTACCGAGGTGCTATCATATAAACGCCTGTAAAGGTTTCCCTGTCAGAAAATCTGATGACTCGCAGAACGAGAACTGATTTGTAGGCATGGTCGCGTAGCAGGCTAATCTTCGGCTAGCCGATACAAATGCCTAGTCGATTAGCCCACGGCTATCGGCCGAAAACGTGTTTCGGTTGAAGGATTTGAGGTGTAATTTCGGATGAATCAGCCGAACTAATCGGCCGAAAACTCAGAGTCGGTCCGAGTTTTCGTATCGTTTGCGGTCTCGGATAGCGTTCCGGCTAGCCGGTAAGTCGACGGTTAGCCGGGTAACAAAAACTATTAGCCGGCTAGCCGTGAGCATCCCTACTGATTTGCCTACCGAGTCATGAACTTGGGACCTCGGATTTGGTCCTCTCCAGTAGGAGGCACAACTGCCTCACTGGACACTGCTTTCTATGCAGAGAGCTGCTGACTCAAAGGCTTGATACGTGGCCATGCGTAGCAATTCCACACTACAAATTACATCAAACAAGTACTAGAGTAAGGCAGTATACAAGACTTAAAATATCAACTCTCACTAAGCAGATTCAAATATAATCATCACAACCGTGAGTTGAAGGGGAGAACAGAATTCACAGAACTTCGGTGTAACCTCTTCTCTTCCTTATCAGTCTCCGTTAGTGTGCTGCGATTGGTGGAAATCACAGTACTTGTTGCTGCGAAGACTGCAAAAGCTTACCATCAGGGATCCTCATCCCATCCACAGTGTTGAGCTGTCTAGACGGATAATATATTTATCGACATCCGACGCCGTGTCTGTTAGAACCTGGTCTGTATCGAACTCCCACCATACTCCGTTCCGATACGAAAGTGACTTTGCATGACATGAAAGAATTCATGGTGGCGAAAATGTTAGTAGTGTTGTCACCTGATACGTCTTCAGTAGATTTCAAAGGCATAAGGTTTCAAGCTGCCACACTGCAATTTGAGGGTCTGGGACGTAGTGTATCATATCATATGGTGACAGTTCTGCTGGTAGTGATAGATTTTCTCACCGTCTTCTATAAAATGTCCTCTTAGTAGGTGTGCTCCAGTCTTTCGAGATAGTAATCAAGTGCCAAAATAACCCCCGATGACCGCTTTGGCCACGAAGTGGCCTGCTCACGAAGTTTAATGGCATCTACAGAAACGGGTTATGTGTATGATTGCACGACACTCAACATTAACCTCGACAATGAAACTGCCAGACCTGTGCTCGATTCGACGAATTCGAAGACAACTCCGTCATCCCCGAGATATCTCACCATCCTGTAACGCAGGAACTCGGCCCGAACAGAAAGCAGCATCAGAATAAAGTGGAAATCTGTACAGTTTATGCAAGTGTCCCAAGAGGAGCGGCCGAAACATTCACCACTCCCAAACACTACCTATTTCACACACAACATTATCCATACACACCGTGATAGACAACACCTATGGCCATGGCGGGGTTATATTTGTTACATACGGCAGCTCGGCGTCTCGAATCTGTTGGCCATGGACGTCTGCTTTCTCTCACCACACCACACACTATGCCTCTCGACAAATTTCCTTGCCACAACCCCAGGCTTTGCCGGTGGCTACTGTGCCAATAGAAAGCTGCACTTACCCAAAATATGCACATAATCAAGAGTACGTGCATCCGTAGGAGTGAACGCATAAATCAAGCATGGCCATACCGACGCCATAGGTAGCTGCACTGCGCTGCGTGATTCATATTTTGGCCCATTCCCAGCAGGTCCGCCACCTCGATTGTCATCGTAAGACCTCCCACAGTCTTACAGGGAAGGGATGTGGTTCGAAGCCGAGCCGAGCATTTGTTGAGATGACATCGATCGGAAGAGAGGAGCTGAATGAGTGGGCCTCGCCAGCACAGCAGCAGCAGCAGCATCCCATCGTCAATTACCACTCTACTACCACTACTCCTGCACGAGTTGTAGATGTCTGACTGAATATGTCTCCACCGCAATCGCTCACCTGCTCGAGAGGCCGTGACGACCAGATTATCTTGCTGGATGATGACCAAATCTCCGCTTAAAAGACTAAGAAACCTCAAGGCAGAAGAGTTGATTTGTGCCTGCAATGCAAACGCGAGTATATGCGTTTCTGGGTCGAAAAGTTGAGAGCGACTTTTTTTGGTTCCCTCACCTGTGGCTGCTGCCAATGCTGCTGCTAGTCATTCGATAACTCATTTTTGTTAATGGGACGTTCGGTAGAATACATCTCATTTTGTGGAGTCGGAAAGTAATCCTAACTTACAGACTGGAAACATTCCATGTAACCACGCACTCGAAGCTTGTACAAATTTGTCAGATTTAATGATAAATCACCTTGACGAATTGATCCGAACAAAGGCATACAATCCGAACGCTTAAAAACTCGAATCGTGAATGAAGGATTGGAACCCCTGCAGTGGTCTTTGATCTTTATTAAGTTCGTATCACATATTTTAAACAGAAGAATGATATTTGATCTGTATTCTGTCCTCTTCTGCTCGACCCTTCTTGCACACTCGCTGTAATTCGTCTCTAGCTGATTCCTCTGGGACTCATGCGAGCTCAGAACAGGAGAAATGAGCCAACCGGCGGATCCGCCATCAGACGCCCGCTAGCCTTGACAGCCTGCCCTGAATGCGATTCCGCAGGTTTCAATGAAAGACAACCAGTTCGTCCCCTGCTCGTTTTCAATAGACAAGGGGGTAGGGACCCCCTGTCTATTGAAACTTGCTATCAAGCTGCTATAGAACAAGCGAAGAAGAATCGAGACGTCGTGTTGTCGGATTTGCTATCGGCCGGATAGACTTCCGGGAAGTTCTCTACTTGTCCAATTAACCGCAAGGGCTGCGCGATCATAGATGTGAACCTAGCATCATGATACCTAAAGGTGGGATGCGCTACTTGTCATATACCGTCCCATCAGTCGTATGACCATAAAAGCGTGTCGAGTGGGTGCGAGCAGAGGCAGCGGGATAGCTGATGCTCCATGATTCAACCATCTGCAGTAGGGTCTTGCAGACACATCTGGCGAATGTATAGTACTTACACTCCATGGCCGTAACCATCTCCTCAACACAGCAAAATTGATTAGGGCCTCTCCATTGTGACCCAGCCAAAAGCGTCCCTCAATGGACCCTCGTAGCAAGACTCCTGCTCAGTGGAAGTGCCGACGAAAACAGCTGCGTGATTGATATTTCATCATCTTGATGGTCAAGATCATGGGATTTGTGGACAAGGAAGACGGGGGAGTGGCATCTTTTCGTCTTGACACTGTTTCTCAATGCCACCATCTCAGTTCTTGGATCTAGCTAGGTACCGACTGGACAGTGGATACCTGGGATTAAAAAAATGCGGCACGAGGCAGAAGGTTCACTTCGTCGATGTGTATTTAAGACTCAGTTCTTTCGATCTAAACAGCCAATCCACCAGAAGACATTCCCAAGCAACCATCCAGCTCAAAGTACTCTTCTCATCTTCTTTCGACTTCTTAGTCCCATATCCATCCATCTACCTACTCCACAATGAAGGTCTATCGGGGCAAGCTCAACTGGTTGAACTACGCCGTCAACGAGACCTGCACTTTCGTGTTCCCCAAGGGCTTCGCTGTCGGGGATCCAGTGTACGCGGCCTGGGAGTGGACCAAGGATGCGTCCGGCAGACCGAAGGTCGAGAAATTCGTCGAAGGATGTGTCAACATGGATTCCGTCGTCAACGGCAAGCGAACCATCCGGTTCCATGAAGGGAACTACTACCATTTCGACGCTACGATCAGCAGCGACGAAAAGTCCATCGTGATGACGATGTTTAAAGACTCCGAGAGAGCGCAACCGACTACCCTTGATTTGGCTATGACCTCCGGCAAATCAGCACTCGTTCTCTATATCGGAAGGTACACCGAGCATCCGTACGCCGACAACGAGATGATCATGGTCATCGGCTCCCCGAATCTCAACTACGGAAGCTCCATCGGCGTGTTTTGGGAATGGACGAAGGACTTCGGAGGCGTAGAGAAGGTCCCGCAGAACTACACCGGAATCGTCACCGACTTCGAGCAAGATAGCTTAGGAATAAAACTCGAGTTCATCAAGGACACCAACTACTACAAGTTCTCCATGAAGGTGGAGAACTCGCTCATGAAGCTCAGAATCGGAAACGACCCCTCTCAGCTCCCCAACCAGCTGGACATCGCTCTGACCTTGCGGAAGAGCACGGATTAAGGAGCTATTTGGTTGAAAGGGGAGGGTAGCCCGGCGGCGACTTCTCCGCTCCGCCTATTTTTCTCCTTGGCGTGTTTTCTTTTTTTTATGTTCTGTTGGATATGGGCTGAGGAAATTTGAATGCTTTTCCTTTGGTCACGATCCAGGGCTTTTCGGGTGCGGGTATGATGGGGCGGCGGCGTCGTTAGGTGGTGATTAGAGGAGGGTGTTCCTGCTCGAGGAGGGGAACGATAGCATAAAATTGGAACTATACAGAGAAGATTAGCATGGCCCCTGCGCAAGGATGACACGCACAAATCTAGAAATAATACCTTTTAACCACGGCGATAACTGCTGTGCATGTGAAGTGAATAAAGGTGTAAACAGGATCCTCACTCTATCGCGACTCGATAAAATGGTTTGCCCCGCGATGGTCGTGCCGCTTTGGCAGAAACGTTTGCTTCGATGGTGTATGGTACTTGAATGCTCCCAGTGTACCCAGCAGTGTCCACGTCAGCACTCGCTCTCTTGCCATATGACCCTAGTAATGGAAACTTTGGCTGAATCTGTGTTTTATGGTCTTTCAAGATTGAATTTAGATGGGAGGAATTGAATTTTTCGGGAGGCCTGAAAAGTTGCATTTTTGCGGTGTTTTGGTTGGACCGTCGCGTCGTCGGTGTTGGAGTAGTGCAACTTGGTGTTCGAAACCAGTGCCGCGCGTTGCCATCCGATCCTGACACAACCAGCGCTATCGGCATCTTTGTGCGCAGTCAACCCGAGTGAGCTTTGGTGACCAGGCACTTTTGTTGACCTTGCCCGTGACATCCCCAAGCGCAGTGGCTCCGCTCTGCACATTCCGCTGCGCTCCATGCATGGCGCAAGCCAAGGCCGCATGAGAACAAAGCTGCCAGCACGCACGCAGGCAGCTTTGCGCTCGTCTGTCCGATGGGGGCTCTGGAGAATCGCTGGGAGATGTGTTTCAGAGAGGGAGAAGTTTGATAGAGTTTAGTATGAATGGGCTCATTGCAGTGGGTGGAATTCGACTTTGGTCGTTCAGTCCCTATCATGGTCGGTGTGTGGGGTAGACCATTCAGTCCTCAATGTCCAGCAGCAGCGAGATGTTGGTGGATGGGATGTGGTTCGAAGCCGAGCATTTGTTAAGATGACATCGATCGGATGAGATGAGCTGAATGAGTGGGCCTCGCCAGCACAGCAGCAGCAGCATCCCATCTTCAATAACTACTCTACTACCACTACTACTGCACGAGTTGTAGATGTCTGACTGAATATGTCTCCACCGCAATCGCTCACCTGCTCGAGAGGCCGTGACTACCAGATTATCTTGCTGGACGATTGACCAAATCTCCGCTTAAAAGACTCTGAAACCTCAAGGCAGAAGAGTTGATTTGTGCTTGCAATGCAAACGCGAGTATATGCTTTTATGGGTCAAAAAGTTGAGAGCGACTTTTTTTTTGTTCCCTCATCTGTGGCTGCTACCAATGCTACTGCTGCTAGTCATTCGATAACTCATTTTTGTTAATGGGACGTTCGGTAGAATACATCTCATTTTGTGGAGTCGGAAAGTAATCTTAACTTAAAGACTGGAAACTGGTTTCACAAAATGTTTCCATTCCGTGAAACCACGCACTCGAAGCTTATATACAAATTTGTCAGATTTAAATCACCTTGAGGAATTGATCATGTATGGATCTGAATCCCCATAACCTACAGAAAATCATAGTCCACACACCATACAAACACAAGCTGATGTTGACGAGGTTCAGCTTGAAAGCCTAGTCCACGCGAACTCATCAATGAAGGATGTTTGAGTATATATATCCAAGATCAGAACTTCAGACTTGACCTTCCTACCGTCATTACAAGGTTTCAATCTAGTGAGAACTACACAGGAAAAATCATTCCTGTTCCCGAGCAAGACTACCACTTCCTCACATATGATTCCCACTCTCTATTTGTCTCCCCGTTCTCCCTCTCGACCATTCTTGAAATCCTTATCACTGTAATGCACTGACTTAATTCGCTGACTCACTTTATATCATCCTGGCTTATAACGGTAAAAATCAGAATGAATCAAAGTTGTCAATTCCTACACAGCCCATAGTATATTGACCCATCAGCAAGCTATTACTAAACAAAAAATACTCTAAAAGAGAAAAAGATATGCAACTAAAGCCGATAACTCACAGATCCGAACAAAGGCGTACAATCCGAACGCTTAAAAACTAGAATCGTGGATGAAGGGTTAGAACCCTTGCAGTGGTCTTTGATCTTTATTAAGTTGGTATCACATGTTTTAAGCAAAATAATGATATTTGATCTGTATTCTGTCCTCTTCTGCTCAAACCTTCTTGCACACTCGCTGTAATGTGTCTCTAGCTGATTCCTCTGGGACTCATGCGAGCTCAGAACAGAAGTGAATGAGCCAACCGGCGGATCCGTCGTACGCCCGCCAGACTTCACAGCCTGCCCCGAATGCGATTCCGCAGGTTTCAATGAAAGACAACCAATTCGTCCCCTGCTCGTTGCCTCCCCGTGCGCCAACAACCTACCGCCTGAACTACAGCATCACTCTTGATGCTCAGTGCAAATACTACGAAGACAGCTCTTGCCTTGATCCATTTGGCATCTAGAAATCGAGACCGGTAGCATAAGCTTTTGGTCACTTATAGTCAATTCGTTACTGACGTATGAAGGTAGAGGAGGAAATAAAAGAAGTTAGACAACAACTCGACCTGAAAGAAGTTGATTATGAAGCTACTCTAGCAACCAAAGTTAGCGATCGCGGAGAAAGTTTTCCTACTTGAAAGAGACCAAGTATGCAGCTCATTGCATTTCAGCAGTACTTTGAGGAGAATCAGGTGCAATAAGTATAGTCCTTCCGGATAAAGATAAGGATAAACCCTTCTCTGATGTTGTGAGATATCAGCTTCACTTGCATGTCATTTTCTCTTTTAGAGTATTTTTGTCGTTTTTATTATTTAGTAATAGTAATAGCTCGTTGATGAATCAATATCCTAAAGGCTGTGAAGGAATTGACGGCTTTGATTCATTCTAATTTTTTACCGTTATAACTCAGGATGATATAAAGTGAGTCAGCGAATTAAGTCTCTACATTACAGTAATAAGGATTTCAAGAATGGTAGAGAGGGAGAAACGGGAGACACATAGAGATTGGGAATCATATGTGAGGAAGTGTTAGTCTTGCTCGGAAACAGGAGTGATTTTTCGTGTGTGTAGCTCTCACTAGACTGAAACCTTGTAATGAGGGTAGAAAGGTCAAGTCTGACGAAATTGATATCGGATATATATACTCGATCTGACTTCATTGAGGACTAGGCTTTCAAACTGAACCTCGTCAACAAATGCTTGTGAATGTATGGTGTGTGGACTGTGATTTTTCTGTAGGTCATGGGGATTCAGATCCCTACATATGTAATCCAAGATTTTTCACGATATGCTTCCAACTCAACTCTTCTCCTTCACTTACCCCTAGTTCTCACTGCTTCGCTAGTGTTGACGCGGATATTCGTCTGCATGGATGGTTGAAACCATACTCCGCCTTATGTTTCTTGAGAGATTTATTCGGAACATCAGATCATTCACAATGGGGTCGATTTGCAGTTTTTTCTAACGAGAAGGTATCCTCGAATTCGATGGAATTTTCCTCTGTACTGCGGTAGTTTGTCACTTGAAACATACAGAGGCCATGACTTTCAGTATCGTAAAATATGTATCATTTTCTCGATTTGTGCGTGTCATCCTTGCGTAGGGGCCATGTTAATCTTCTCTGTATCCTTCCATTTTTATCCGACGTATCCTTCAGAGAAAAAGATGTTTACAAATTATGTGGATGTTGTATTGCAGCTCGAACATCTTACTGCGCCTACCAGCCATCACTACTCAGCAATTGCCTTCAATTACTACCTCCAATATCACCTGCATACAGATACGGCCCTTTCCCCGCCATGCTGTACTCGAGATTAGGTGGACTGAGTCCGTTTTGGGTCAAGCCGCCTTCACGACGTTCGATCCATACAAATCGGTCACTGCAAATCGCATTGATAATCGGATCCATTGAAAATCAGCGGGGTGCAGTGGAACAGAAGCGGAGTTCGTGATTAAACAGTCCTTGCAGGTAACGATTACGCAGCTTGAATGCAGAAATCATTCCACAAATCGCCACTTCCGAGCTTGCCTGATCCGCCATCGCCAATCCCAGAAAAGAAATGCTACTCAAGAACTACTAGACGAAAAGGTCGGCAGTGGACACCGGGCATTAAAAAAATGCGGCACGAGGAAGAAGGTTCACAGTCTTGTGCTTTGATGCGAGTCTGTGCTTTGATGAGCCTTAAATTTGTTTGAGAATGTTTCTCCCGACCCGTGTGCCATGACCTTATTTTTATTTTCTTTGTGACTGAAAACGAGCCAAATAATTGAATTATTTCCAGGGACCTGGTCCGAGTACGCAGTGCGCTATTTCTGGTCGGGCCGTAGGTTCTTTAGGCCGTGGTGTCTATTTCGGGGCGTGTTTGATCATC